ATTGACGCGGATTGTGTCACACAGGCAGATCGTTCAAACGATTTACGGCTATACACAAGTAATCGGCCGATCTTTCGGATGCAAAACGTAACGTGAATTTTAATGAAAATGCCAACGATGCGCTCTGACGCCGTCAAAGCGCAATTTGGAGATCAATTAAAATTCCAATGCTGATAATCGCAGGCCAATCGATTTCGCTGAACGCGGAAGAATTGCGAGACCGGGAGGAATCTTAAAACGATCAATACTCGCGAGCGTTAATAGAAATGTCAACGTCGATGATAAATCAAGTTCTCGTATCGAAGTCAAACTGTTCGAATTAAACGCCGAGGGCACCGCTCAAATGGGCGTCGATCTCGAAACAAGCGCAAACAGGGTCACTACGACGAGCCAAAGGTAAACGTAGACGAGAACGTCAATTTCCGGAGCGCGCATCCAACCGTGAATGGCGATGCCTCTTAGCGGAACTGACGTCTTTAGCATCGCGTCGCCGCAATTCAGCCAGCGACGTATCTGTCATCGTAAACACCGCGAACAAACAGCCGGCCAAATCAAAAGATCATAATTTAAACGCGCGCAAATCGCCGTGTCTCGCGATCGATATTTTTCGAACGTGTCCGGAACGGATCACAAAACACAGCCGCGTCGATTCCCAGCGGAGACGTTGATTTCCGAGCCAAGCGTTCTGGAACGTTGCCAGATTGTCCTTAATGTCAACGCAGACTACCCACAATTACAACGTCAACACGCCAGCCAGGTCACCCCGAGTTAACCGATTCGTCCGTGAATCACGTCATCGATCAACGTCGTCGCTCCGCAAATAATAATTCGACGATGCGCTTGAATTTCCCGTGGGCTTCCTGAGCGGCGGTTTGTTGTTACTCGTGTGCGCAACACGATGCGCAACTACGATAATAATTCCCTCGCGAATTACGACTTCGCGACGGAATTGCCAGCGTCAATTACAATTGGGGCGCAAGAAAGGACGACGCGCGTTGCGGTGTAACAGGGACGTGAGTAAAAACAGCCGGGAACGCACGAGAACGCGCGGAACAATAAGAAGCTGCCTGCGGGTGGGCGACTGCAGCAGGATCCGATGACCTGGCTCGGACGTTCTTGACGTTATTAATCTACACGCGGTCAGTCGAAGCTGCGCGCACATTTTGGCCGGAGTGGACGTGCATTGAGGCGGATTACGGTTAACGAGAGAATCACCGTCGGGCGTGACGTAGCTTGATAAAATATGCATCACATCTGCGAGGCACTCGAGAGCATCGGACGACCGAGAGGATTACGAGATGCTAAAATGTAATTTATGATTACGCCAGCAGCGAAGAGAAAAAAACACGCATCAGTGGGCGAGAAAAAACGCCGGCGAGAGTGTACGATGAGAAAATCTAATTAAGGAATTTCGATACTCGGTTTCATAATATCAATTTCCGCTAATTATATATCCTCTCAAATCTCAAGATGTTCGCGATAATTATCGGGAAACGAAACTTGTTAAAACAAATTCGGAAATAAAACTACAAATTACAATATTACACTTAAGCGACGACGTAATTTTACACATCTGAAAAAGGAAGGATAATCTAGTTGCGAATTCATATCGCTCGCTTTGTGACAAATTTGCATTTCAAATTGTATTTAAAGGACCACCTTCATTTCCGCGCTGAAAAGAACCGTCTTTGCGAGATTTATACGTATCACGTTTCAAACGGACGAAGTAAAAAATTTTAAACAGTATTTTGTGACGCTTTTTGTAAAACAAAAGGTGAGAGAGTGACTTCATCGCAGATTTTATACGTCAAACATCACCGCGTAACACGAAAAAATTACACGTCGCACGTTAATTTCACGGACATCTGTATTCTCGTAACGAGATTTCGTACACTGAATTTACCTATCATGAGAAGAACAGGGGGTTAATATTTTGAGCAATTTATTATCGCGACAATAAAGATTTCAGAGGATCAAGTCTCCGGGATTTCCGGGAACCCGCGTTCCGGGTCCCGGTGAAACATAGTAGTGCAATTTGGACCATCCGAAGCAGAAAGAGAGAAGCTTCTAACCGAGGATAAACCCCTGAGAATTTCCCGTAACCCACTTTTCTATGGTCGGCTTCGTCTTTCGTATCCAGGAAGCGTGTGCGAAATATGACAGCTACCTCTTTCGAAGAACATCTATCTTCCGCAACTCTCTAATAAAGATTGCGAACTGCCCTGTTAAAATTCAACGTGAAACTCGCTCGAGACGTTCGACGGACATTTAAAGATGCTTCAAGAATCAAGCTGTCTTTTTTTAGCGGATATTTATATATCACGTGAAAACGCAAGTATCTGCGCAAAACATGGTTTACCGTGATATCTGATTGATTGCACGTCGAGAACCTTCGCTCGCCCTCAAATTTTAGGCCTCGCATTCAAGTCCGAGACGAGCACGACGTAGTGCAAGTTACTACGCAGTCTCGGGAGCTGCTACCATTTCGTCGTGTATTTTCTTTTCGGAGTAAGCGCATAAATCAGACGCAAGACGATCGCGACTTTCGTCTCTGCTCTTGAAAGGTCACGTCGCTACGCTAGTCGGTGCAGCTTCACCAAAGGTAATGTACAAAGCCGGACCAAGACGTATGCGGAACAGGGTTGACGCGTCAAAGTCATCCCCGCGCATTACGCGGTCACGTCATGCAGCGCGAGTTTCTCTTGAATCGAAGAGGTTCAACGAGTAACAAATTTTTTCGAATAGAAATCTACTTCCGTGAGAGATTTCGTTCAATCTCCAGCATCGTATTATACATACAGCACGAGTTCATCCTTCCGAAAAATGATTGACGAGAAAGCAACTTTCTGACGCGGCCTTTTCCACCGACTGCACCGATTTGCTCTTATATTAAAATTCTGTTCGCGAGTTTCCATAAACCATGCGGAGTTTACGCTTGATGTGCTCAACAATACATGTAGGAAAATTTTCGCAAATGTATCAGATGCACAGTGCGTCACATAAATAAAAATTAATAAAATAATAAAATAATTTAATCGTAAAATAAAAAATAACTTGAAATATAACTCAAAAATATATCAAATTCCTATGGTGGATAAAAATCATACAAATGGCAAAAGTAGTAAAAGTATATTTTAACTGGAAAGTTGCACTCTCGCTTGTCAATGTAGAATTGTGTCCGAGTAATTCATACAAAATCCCGAAGACAGACGCGAGAACAAAGGAAACAGACGTGAGAGCGACGGGCGAAGGAGAAACGATATGGCGAGAGAAATGCGATCAGACTGCGGGACGAACTTCGTCTCGAACTTTATCTTTGCGATTGAAATGGAGGAATTGAAACGTCGGATATACAGTAGTAGAGGCGCGAAAAAACACTCGGCTTCTTTCTTTTCAAAAGATAAGATTGAACTCAGATCTGATCGGGATCTCTCTTCCTGAAAGACTACGGAACTCTCTCCGTACGAGAGAAAAAATAATCCGCGTTCAACTCTTTCGCACGACTGCAAGAGTGTAAGAAGGAACGAAAGACGTGCATCTACGAGTCTACAAAAGGCATATTTTATTATGACGATATCGCCATCTTTACGACCGTAAGCATCGTAAATGCACTCGGATCTCGTCATTTCGTCTGCGTAGGCGCGTTTGTCTTTGTAATATCAACACCGCCGGGGAAACAAGGTCCCTAATGAATAGCCCGCCTGAAGTGGGTCACGACACAACGGTGGCAACGAAAAAATGTTTCATTTCTTGTCTTTTTTATTTCACCGTCATCTTGTTCTATATATCTGAAGGTAATCTTCTCGGCTTTTACATCATCTATTACGCCAGCAGCTCGACGGATTCATAAATATATTATCCCTTCGCAAGTCACATTAGTAAGCGGTCGGGCAGGAAATTCCGAGTAGAATTTCACTCGAAATTATAAAGGGTTTCACGTCAACGTTTTGAACGTGTCGTTTTCCAATACAAACTCACATAAAAAAGTTTATTTAACATTTGCTATATAGCTTTTAAAGTCGCTTGAAAAGTTATATAAAAACCTCTCTCTCTCTTTCCTTCGCGTCACCATCATTATCAAAATACTTATCTTGTTATGTCCTCCACGGTTTGCTTCTTGTTGCAACACAATGTACTGACACATATTTAAAAAAATAAAACTAAACAAATAATTTCTAAAATAACTAATAAACATAACATCCAGAACAATCTAACGATAATAAATTATCGTACAATTTTTATTTACCTATGGTTCATCTAATAAGAAAATTATACGTTTTTTTGAAATTATTTGCAAAATTTAATCATGTTTTTCCGAAAAGCACTCAACTGTAGGTCTCGAAGGTGCAAAATCGGAATTGGTCAATGATGTACGAAGAAGAACTCGTAATTTCACAGAAGAGGATACATGATCCCGGATATGTAGCCTGGATTTGAGCTTACGTCGTCGTCACGTAGAATGGTCCGACTATTGGATATTAGAAAATGGATTCTTCGCAACCGGTTTTATCGCTTTATTGTCCGAAATTTCAGTTTCCAATTTTTCGTACGAGTTTCCATTTGTCGAATTGTAGGAAAGCGAGTTCCGTATCGGTTTCTCTGCTGTCGGCAGCAATCTCTTTGCCCGCATTTAGTAATACGAATCTTAGAATCTGATCTGTCCTGTTTCTTTATATTAGCGCGCTCTTTGAGGCTTTAAAAACACGTGCTTTGTTGAGATTTCATTGTCTCGCCTTCGCGTCTTCCTCGTTTGAGACATTTTCGTGCGCATTTTGCTGTCAAAAAAAAAAAAAGATAACACCGTCTGATCTATTATCCTGATGCAACCTGTCAACGAGTTGGGGAAGTTTACGATAAAATACACGTCATCCAAAATTCTGTCAAGTTTTCTTGCAAAACTTGGCGCTTAATCTTATTTTGCCAAACATGATTAATCGATTTTCTTCTTTTCTGTACAATTGCGGACTTTCCTTCGTCATCGCGTTAAAATTCTGTTTCAGATACATGGCCATCGTGAATCCTTTGAAACCACGTATGGGAAAAAAGGCGACTCTGTGTGTGGCGATCGTTATTTGGATCGTCAGTGCGATACTTTCCCTGCCGATGCTGATTTTCTACACAACTTACACCCACATCTTCGTGAACGGCGAGGTCCGTGTTATTTGCTACAGCGACTGGCCGCACAGAAACGAGAATGGACACAGTTACGACGAATATTTGTGAGTCAAATGTTCTAAACAAAGCGAAATGTATATAATGGAGCGTCTAGAAATGTATACTCCTTACAATAGAATCGCAACAGCGCAGTTGTCGTCTGTATGCAAAAAGATCAAGAGGCACGGTAGTGCTTCGCGCCAAGTTCACGCGCACGAACTGCGCGAGACACACCGTATAACTTACATCGAGAAGTATAGAGAAAAAGATATAACTATAACCTAACGCACTTGCAATTCATGTTATTTTTTTCACACACAGTTAAAATGACCACGTCGTTTTCTAGAAGCGCATAAAAACATTATTGCTCTCGTATGCATACGCTACCGTTTATCGATTTATGAAACGACTGCGCCTGATGACAGTCAGTTGACTCGTCGCGCTCAGAGAATCGTATCACTTCTTTCTTTACTGTTACACATGTGCAACAGAGAGTATAATAAATTCATTTCACGGAAACACTTAACTGCAGCGAAACAATCAATCAAGCTTTAATTCCGTTAATTTTTCAGGTGTACTTCATATATACAATATAATTATACGAGTACCGAGGATACGTTCTCTCCATTCATGCAATTAAATCATTTTTGATCGAGTTGTAATTATAGATCAAAATCTTAACAGTGTTCTACATTTGCGCTCCGATCGTCCATTAAGATTAACGCTGCAAAATCGTTTCGTCGAAATAACGTGTTCGCCCTGAAGAGCGCGAGAGAGTTCCTTAATTGAAAGATTCGGAACTCACTACTTATTGTGCTTTAGCACGTCATGTAAAATCACGCACGAGCGAAAAGAACCGCCATTTCGAAAATAATTGTTTTTTGTTGTTTTTCACTGAATAATTCATGTCGCGCGTGATTAAAGTACAATTTTTGCTACCCACAATCTCAACTAAGAATCTTTTTGATCGCGCGTGATTGCAATATTACGGAATATTCATGCAAGCTTTTTTCATGCAAGTTTTATTTTGTCTGATTATCTTTAATTATTCACAGAGAGAAAAAGATAGATAGATAGATAGATAGATAGATAGATAGATAAAGAGAGAGAGAGAGAGAGAGCATAAGATTCCCTTTTCAAAGCGGTCCATCGATTGCTCGATGCTAAAGTAGTCAAATTGGTGTGTCGAAACTTGGAAAGCGAGACTCTATAAGCTCAACTGCATACTTCCACGGAATTACCGGAAGCCTTTCCGCTCTTAGGCTATGTACATATCGGCGAACTCATAAAAGTCAATTTATATATTGCTATATATATGTATATACGCGACGTTTCATTATGAGCTAACTTTTACGATCAAAAAACCATGTTTAGATATCTGTGTAATAATTATTTGACAAATTATTGTCATTAATTTATGTTAAAAAATTTATACTACTCAAGACGCACGTTATTCGGTTTCTTATGTGCACGCAGCTTTACTTTTATAATCACGCTTACATTTAAGTTTAAACTAATCTGCATGCACGTATAAGATTGGCTTACAACTCTTTCGATATTTTCCTAAGACTCTCAATATTTTCAAGCAAAACTTCTCGAGCCTGGTCTAATTTTCGTTGTTAAGCATGTTAAAGCACAGCAGTTGACACAAATTCATATAAATGCACGGTATTATCATAGAGAGAGGCGTTTACGTCGATCGTTATCCGAAAATTCCATTTCCGAAGCAATTCGCCGTCATTAACCGCTGACAATCGCTTTTACGGCTTAAAACCTCGTCAAGTCATTCTAAACCGGGATTACGCGAGCGCAGTCCGAAATTCCCGCGTTGGTAGTTTTTATTCGTTTTGGATCAACACTGGATTTTTGCGCGAAGCGAAACGCGCGCGCGGAATCGAAAAAATTTCGATCTCGACCGTAGTTTTGTACCGCCTCGTGTAATTAATAGATTGCGAAGCAGCCAGACGCGCGAATATACGTTCATTAATAAATTCATTACCGTTCGTTAATCATCCTAGTGTGAGAACGGACATACTTGTCGTGATGATCGAATTGCTCGATTAGAAGATTAACAGCTGTTAACAACGCTTTTCGATTTTCTTGATTACCATAATTAATGCATGTAGATAGTGTTAGCCGAGCTTTATTGGAGATATCACAAGAACAAATTACGGTGCCGCGCTCGACTGCATTCTCTTGTTCACTGACGTTAAAAAAAAATGAGGATTTTGTATAGTAATTTAATTTAATTTTTCACCGCACCTCTTAGCCTTTCAATGTATGCGCGAAGTGAAACGGGATTGACCGAAAAATGAATGTAATCCATCATCTCTTAAAATATTGCTCGAACAATTCTTTAAAATTTACAACTTTCACGCTGTGCATAGCAAATTCTGTTTCGACAAGACAATAATTTTTGCCCACGTAAATGTCTCTCCACGTAAATTTCGTTCGATGTAGATTAAAAGTAAAACTTTCCTTAAAACTCGAATTTTTTTTCGTTACGCATTTCATAATTTGTTGGACATTGTTGTAAAAGTAAATCCTGAATTGCGTGTTCTGTTGAGGAAAGAAAAATATAAATTACACAGGGAAACACAAAATCCTTTTTTTTTAATTTATAAGCTCTCTTATTATAAATCACGTTGAAACGCTTTAATTTTCTCGATGTCAACTTGCTAATGGGATCTCAGCTTGAACAATCGGCTTGAACAAAAAGAGACTATTTCAATTTTCTCGAAGCGTCCACGATTTGAGAGAAAATTGTAGCGTGAATTTCTTCGAGAAATTTCATAGAATTCGTTTTCGTGAATACGGCACACACGCGAGTTTAATTGATTTTCAGGTACAACGTTATCTTCATGATATTGACGTACTTTTTGCCGATTGGATCTATGACGTTCACGTACGCCCGAGTCGGCCTGGAATTGTGGGGCTCCCAAAGTATCGGGGAAGCTACAGCTAGACAGCTCGAGAACATACGGAGCAAACGAAGGGTATGTATCGCGTATAAAAACGAATTAATATCCACACGCGCACCGAGTCGGTCGCTGAAATTGCTTTCGTTCTCGACAATTGACTGGCGATCAACGATAGATCGAAAAAGCGAGAAGGTGTGTTTACAAGGTGAAAGAAAATGTTTCCTCTCGTTTTTCTTCGCGGCGGATATTAAATTCAATTATTAAAGGACTTCATTAAAAGTAAGTAAATGATTCTGTCGCTTTAATATTCATGAACAAAAATGTTAATGAAATGTATATATAAATTGAAAGTAAAGTTCACGCAATGTTTATCAGCACATCGTGCAGGTGCTTTTATGTAATTAAAAATAGCGTATCATATATGTAATATTAGTCTATATTTACGTGATATGAGAAAGCTAAATTATCTTATATATGCTCTCCGTTATTCCCTTAACTCGATCAAAGCTGATACATCCCGCACAGACATAACGTCCATTAGACGTCCACTGGACGTCCATAACTCCATGTGACGTCTAATGAACATCTAATGGAGGTTTGTATAGAATGTTGTGGGATGAACCGTATCGGTTAATTACTTGTACAGATCGAATTTCATGTAATTTTTCTTCACGTTTTAACTACTTACTGCATCTTTGTTACATCCATGAGAAATATGACGGTAATAACGCGATTATTTGTTAAAAAAAACAAAAAAAACATAATATTACATGTTATGTTCGTGCAACGCAGCAAAGAGTTAACACCTGCGCAACAGTATTTGATGATCGCAGTACGTATCATCGTTTGTTCGTATCTCATCAAAATAATCGATCTCTTCATTTTGTTCGGATTTTGTTCGCCAATCTATCCCGCTAATGAGTAGTAAATCTTTCGAAAAAACGAATAATATCCGTTCGTTCAGGAAGGTTGTGCGCGATGCGTCGATAAATGACGTAAACTAATAAGACTATAATCGCATTAATGCGGGAAGGTTCTAATAATCGCGCAATGTTCATCAAAATCAGATACACGAGGAAACATGCGCGCGCGTTTGAGCAGCGTTAAGATTCCTACAAAATGATAATATCCCGCGGCTTGGTGATATTGGCTTTATCCAACTCTCGTAAACTCGGCTTATCGCCATTGCTTTAGCAGCCGCGGGGTCTCCGCCTCTTCTTCTTTTACATCTTTCTTTCTCCCTTATAAATAACAGTGATCCCTTCTAATAATATCCACGAGGGTGGCGAGAGTCGCGCCACATTTTTTTCCCCGAAATTTGTCTTTGTCTTTTCTTATCTTAACGGTTTAACGTGATCGTTTTTATTTTACCCGCCATTGAATGATGAATGGACACGCCGCAGTCGTGGCACTTTCGCAGGTTCTATGTACGCACGCACGGCCAAAAGTAAGGATAAAAATACCGCGCGATTTTTTCCTCAACGGAAAATCGATATTAAAAGAAGACGGAACAGTTGTTCAGTGACTTTTTCTTCTTCCTTTCGTGTTCGCTCGTTGCGTGTCCGAGACAAGATGAATGGATATGATTGCGACGCCGACATCACTCGATAATGTCTTTCGGTAACGCTAAAAGACGTCTTTCCAATTAGTGTTAAGCGCAATCTGTAAAGATGTCCAACGGAACTGAAGACTATGTACATGTATATACTCGTACATGCAGCAAGACGGTGATCGGTCTATATCTCACGAACGTACTACAGAGACGATTTAAACGCGGTAAAGCCTCTCGTCGGCTATAACTCGTAATTAGACGAGTCCCGGATCTGCAGCGTCTTCGCGAGAGTTTCTCTTTATTTTCAGCGCTTTGACTTGAAATTCTCGTCTACTACTCCCGTTCGATATAAAGTTCACGGGAGAAAAGTTTCATCTATTCTCCGTAAACGGTAATACGATGTAGGGGCGCGTTTAGCTAATTTTAGTAAAAAAAAAAAAAAAAAAAAAGAGCAAGAGAAACCCACAAACCTCTTGAGGGATATTCTCTCTTTTGTTTTAAAGAAAAATAACCGTGCAATTTAACGCGTTCGCGATAGAAACGGAAATTGACTGTCGGCAAAATGTTTATCGTATGACTTGTATTTAAACCATTACGTCTTAAAAACGGAATTGGATATCGTCATCTCCTCAGACTATTATCGTTTCGATTTATTTTTTTTTTTTTTAATATCGCGAACTGCGAGACAAAGTGTTTTTGTCCGTGATATTAGAAGTGTGCCAAAGTTCTCGGCTTCTACACATCGATGCAGCGATACAAATGTAACACAAAGTGTTCCTTGACTCTCGCTCAATAATATTATATACATCTATATGCAAAATCAATGTAATTAATGCAGAAATACTATCTAATCGAGTGAAGCGATCGCGGCGCGGGAAGAGAATAAATGGGACGTGATTATCGGGTATATAAAAATGGCCGTGTCGTAATGGAAGCATAATGAATTCGCAACGAAACGGTCGATGCGCGTACAACACGGCTGACTGCATTTTTCAGAATTGAAGAAAAGTGCATTTACAACTCTGACGTTTATCGCACCGATAATTGTACGTATGTAGTTGTAAAAATTGCAGACACGTATTACGTTTTTTTTTAATTTACAAGACTTGAAAATCGCAACATTCAAATTAAGCAACTTGAATTAATCCCTTATAATTAAGTAGCTCTCTTTATTCTCTTCGGAAAGTAATATAACTTCGAAAAAAAAAAGATCACCATCGAGAATTACGTTGTCAAGCCAACTTGTTCTAGATCTACATTGCGACGCTATAGAACTGCATCGAAGTAAACCTAACCCGTAATTAATTACTGTTCTGGCCTTCTTTTTTTCAACAGCACACTCAAAGGCGTCAAACGATAATGATGATAAAGATAGTTGTAAAACTCAGTGAAGCGGAAAATGAATGAGCTATGACTCAGCTGTCCATTTAAACTTTAGTTATTTTACTCGTTTACTTACTATTTTTAGTTACAGTTCCTCGCTCGCGTAAAACATTAAACTTTTTTTTAGCGTATTAAACATTAAAGTTACGCATATATAAGTACTATTTTGTGAAAGTATATATTTTTTTTACAAATTCTCTTTTTACACTTTATTATATTTGATTAAAATACGGAGATTACTCTCCTCAGAGAGATTCAAAGAGAGAGAGAGAGAGTGAAAGAGAGAAAGATTCAAATGACATACACGTCTCTTTTGCACGAAATTAATTTACATACGAATAGAGCACAGGCGAAAGCTGCATATTTCTTTTAATATCAGTAGGAAGCGGAGCGCGACGTATTCTTGAAAAATTAAAACGCTTGTCAATCCGCGGTGCGAATCTTGAAAGTCATTTGAAATATATTATATAAAATGTAAATAATGGCAAACCGCGCAAACGTATAATGTTCTCAGAAGTTTTCTTTTGTTGCGCGTATCCACGCAAACGGTTGATTTAATTCCGTACACGTTCGCCGCAACAACGAAGAGATAATAAAAATTCAATTCAATGAATGCTCCTTTGTATGCAAGCGCAATGTTTAAACACAATAGCGTCTGTACATACAACCAAATCTGCTCTAAGAAAGTGAAAAAGGTACGCTATTTCCGATACACGACGAATACTGAGAAAATCCAATACTTCGGTGACAAATCGCATTGAATGATGCTTCATTTAATTTGTCGACTTTGTTATATTCTTTTCAACTGCGTCGCAAAAACAGCGCGGTATTTCTCTCACTCTCTTTGCGAAATTGTGTCGAATGCGTTCAATTTGTGTCGAGAAATGCAAGAATACGATTTGCAAGATAAATACGTTGCGCTACACGCGAGAATAATTATAACAAAATTAATTTATTAATCGAGTCAATAACCTAATTCCGATACAACGAAAGAAAAGAGAAAGAAAAGAGATTTCGGATAAATGTGATCGGTTGTTGGAAAGTAAGTGCGCGCGAGCAAGAGAGCGAGAGAAAGAGATCTGCTTCCCTTGACCTTAATTATACCTCGTATGCACTTACCTGATACGGCGGCGCTATTCTTTTTTTCGGATAAAAAACGATCAATGGACGCGCGCAGTCGTGAGGTGAATTGTATGAGATCGAATCGTTGCGGTTCTTTTCGGTTCTTCTTATTTTTGGATCAATGAATGAAGACCAATTCTTTTTGTTCCTTTGGCGAAAGAATCAGTAGCGATAGAATTGAGAGAGCTGCTCGCTAATTTCTCTTCCTATTTTTCTCTATACCTATGTAAGTCTTCTCTGTCTGAAAAATAAACACAAACGATTATATATATACATTTGCCATTATTTTAGTCTATTTCCACTTCTTTTTCGCTTTACCGATTTTCTCGCGATAAACCCGACGCGACATTTCACGTGCAAATATATGTAAACACTCAAAAGTCGCACTTTATATTTTCTCGCGACTTTTTAGTGTTTACAGTGAAATATAAATATTTACTTATCTTCACCAGCCGGATACAGATTTAAAAATGCAATACATGAACAGAAAAATATAACGGAATAAGAAAAGTAAAAAAGAGATAAAGTATACAAGGCAGTATTTTACTTCACTGTTTTCCCGTGAACAAAATGTGCGATTATCGTGGATTTTCCACCAGAAAAGAACAATTCAAATTCTTATCTGTTCTTTGTAGAACGTACGATGGAAGTAACAAAATTGTTGAGTGTATCTCAAAACTTTACACTCGCGCCAAAGATCGGATATAAATATTCAAATATAGAGCATCACGATCCGCAGTGTGGTGCGACAATTTTTCAAACATGTTTGCACTAAACCGTCTTCTCGAATATGAATAATGATTTATTGGTGTAAATCATAATCAAATTGCTTGTTAAATGTATAAGTATTTGTAAATATATGTATAATATACATATATATATTTTTCGTGGATTGTGTGAAAAGCAATAAAAAAATCAATCTTTTCATTATATAAAGAGAATAATGAAGCGCACGGGTTTTGTAACTATCTCGAGCAATTTAATTTAAGTTATTTCTCAAGTACTCGTCTTTAACAAGCTGTCCTCACTGATTTCAAGAACTATATATATATCTGCGAAAATTAAGTAAGTCGATAATTTTAACGAAAAACAAAATTGCTCGTCAATTGGATATAAAAGCAAACTAATATTATAATTAATAAGCGTTATACGCGTTGCTTTAATTAGAAGTTATAAATTGATCAATTCCCCAAGATTCCGTCATCGTTTTTTTTTTTTTTTTTTATACTCTTGCTAGCCGTTTTTGCAGGTGTGATTAATTTTTCGCGTATTTTACATTCGCGTTACATTTACATAAACGCGTCTCGTAAAATATTTAAAAATATATAGAAAATACATATATCCCGTTGTTATTCACGGAATCCTCATTTGCGACACACGCGAGAGCAGAATCTAACAGGTGTTTTCATTAAAATTATTGGAAATTTAATTGCACAAAATACATATCTCTTAAGATATTATGTACATTTATTTATTTCATTTATGTACTTGATGTATGAAACATTTGCATAATTAATGGTAAATAAACAAAACTTGATAAGATCACTATTTTGCAACTAAAACTTCTCTTTATATTTTTCAGGTCGTAAAAATGATGATGGTTGTAGTGGTAATATTTGCAGTTTGCTGGCTTCCGTTTCACGTGTACTTCATAGTTGTGTCTTACGTACCGGAAATTACAAACAAACCGTACATTCAGGAGGTCTTTTTGGGTATATATTGGTTGGCAATGTCCAACAGCATGTACAACCCTATAATTTATTGTTGGATGAATACTAGGTGAGATATTTGCTTTTCTGTACTTTTCATAAAGTTCGGGATTATTCTCTCGTGACGAAACGCCACGAAAATAAATACGCTCACAATTAACGTTTTGTCTTTCTCTTTCAATAAAAGATAAAATTCGTGCATAATTAATGTAACATAAATAAAGTCAGTTTGAGGAGTAATTTGCCAACTCTTGACTAATTCAACAAGATCAGCAAATATATAGTAGATATAGCATCACAAATCCTCTCGCCATTTGTTAACAGAGTTCGCGAAAGTTTTGTCCCTCTCCCTTCATTATATAATTTCGTGCGGTACTTCATTTCTAAGTTTCTCTGTCGCGATACCATAAACTTAAATTATTCTATTTTAATTATACGTTATGTATATTTACCCGAGATTTACGTTAAATTAAGCACTGTCACGTAACATATGAATTATTCCTGAAGTGCGTAATGCTTCTATTCAATTTTGAATTTTTTATAATCCCGTTACATATATATCGGATTTTACATATTAGTTTTGTTAAAAGTCCAAAATATATCACCATTATTTATTTTCAGATTCCATACCAAAAAAGATCGTTAGCGAGAGATATGTTCGTATTATATTTTGAAAAACCACCGCGCAATTCCCAAGATCTTAGAGCAGTTTATTGCAATCTTAACGTTAGTTCACAGTAGTTAATTAGCAAATCTCGATTGCCGTCGATTCATTTCTCATTCTGAGAATGTTTGACAAACTGTTGAGAGGTAATCCAACAGCGCGTGGGAGATAAGCTCATCCGGCTTTAGAGGTACTTTAGAGGAGGAAACGGGAGAATCCGAAGTTATTACGAGAACATGAAGTAACATTGTTGGCATTGTTGTTAATGCGTTTACATAAACGATCAGTTTGAATGTGAATTATTCTTGTTCATCGTTCTCCCCGATAGAAACACCGGACCGACATTCCGATATACTATTTGATTTATGTTATTGACCGGTTTTCTATTCTTATAATAGAAAACTAACGTAAATCTCTGAATCGAAATAATTTCATTTTATCCGCAAAAACGAAAATCAGAAGCGTAGTCGAGGGTCAGTCGACTTGTCCGAATCCTCCCTTATACGTCACACGCAGCACATATGTGTGCTTTCTTCCTTACAAATACGGGCATTGTCGTGATCCACGGTCCCGACAAAATAAATTTGTCGAAAACAATAAAAAGAAAATCTGAACGTCTCGTTACGCGGAATCGGAAGTGTCACGTTTCAATTTTCTGCGTGCCACCGATGAAATATCTTTCGATCACATGAATATTCATTGATAAGCCTATCGTTCGTGTTTCGCGTGTTACGGTTGCAATCTCATAATAATAATAAATAATAATAATAACAGCGTTATACAGTGATATTGAGATTCTCGTTAATCAAACGCGAGAGATATTTCTCTCACGAGAATCATGTGTGTAATATATATATACACAATTTTACTTCTTAAATTATTTTTTTAACTCATGAAAATGTAGATAAACCGTATATGTGAACAAAGTTTGGGATTTACGGTCATCTTCGTATTCTCTCAACTTTTTTTTAACATAAAAATAATAAAAGTCACGCGTGACATACGATTTATTCTTGAATTGCGCGATAACGCGATATTTCCCCCGAGGACATCAAGCATTTTTGCTACATGTATTATTTCTGTGCATATACACACACACACACATATCGTAGGAAAATGATGAATTATACGTGAAAGAATCATAATGGTTTTGTTTTGTGCGAAAGATAAGAGTTACAATAAAGTTATCATTTTATAAACAAACACGATAGCCAAAGCTATTCATACACGTTAAAAGAAATTCAACCGAGATTTGTTCGCGATTGTCTTGTTACTTCCTATAATCCTTAGTATTTTTTTGTGCATCGCAGATTTCGCCGTGGATTCGCTCAGGTCTTCTCCTGGTGTCCGTGGGTGCGGGTGACGACTGAGCCGTCTTTGTCACGTTCAGAGGCTGTGACGTCCCGATACAGCTGTACCGGTAGCCCGGACATGCATGCCAGAATATCGCGGAACGGTACGTCCACGTGCACTCTTTCGGAAGAGCACACTTGTAGCACCGTTTCCACAACGCCTAGGAGCGAGTCGCATCTAGAAGACGCTAACTCGGCTGAGGAGAAAAACGCGCGAACTTCCTCCATATGCTTACGCACATTGGCCCCCATATTAGTCGCCGACGACGGTAATTCGTACGAAGAAAGCACCTTGCAGTGACTTCCCGCAAAAAATTCGATATCGATCATGATCGATTTCACGAGCATCGGAAGATTAGCACGCCCGTTTCTTCGTCAGACGCGTTTAACGTTAAATAAATACTATAATTCTTGTCTGATATAAAAAAACTAAAACTATTTCTGACGTAAACTTGCAATTTGCTCGCAATTCGATTAAGATAGTAATAAAAATCGAATATACATTTACTCGAATGTGTACACAATATATACGGATTGTTTCGTATAGCGTGGTTAAATATCGATCTCGAGGGAAGTCTGAACGAAAGGTAATAAACGCGAAGTAAACACGATAGAGACTGAACTATGATTGCGTGTTTTTCGTACGTTAACGTTATACGTCATTAGATTTGCGCGAAGATATTTTTTTATCAAGAATTAAATCTTTCATTTCCGAAAACTAAATGAATTTCCTTTTATACACCTTGAATATATCTTGAATGTTTTGTACGTACTTCTTCTATTGGAAGAGTTAATTCTTGGTTGTAAAAGTAGGTTAACAAAGAAATATCAAGTATATAAGAGTTTAGCGCATTACGTTTAAGTAAATAAACATATATATTTTGTTGTTTTAATTATATCAGTATAATAATTTCGGTATGTTTCAATTTACTTGAACATTTATGTTCATTTCATTATTATGTGTAATTTTCAAATTTCTTTTACTATTGCCATGACTTGTTTGTTGAATATTCTTATTATTTGCCATAACTTTTTCATTTAATATTCTTATTATATTATTTTAGTTACGTTATAAATTAAGTTTTTAATATATAAGTGTTAGTCAAATATATATGGACGCACACATAATAAATATATCATGTCCCTATACTTTTTCTTTGCTTAATTCTCGAAATAAGTGACAAACAACTTGCACAAATTACGTTCGTACATATTACACTTAGGCATGCGATTAAACTCGACTGCACGAAACGGCGTTATTAATCACTGCAGTATAATTGGATATAGCACGATACCTAGCAATCGATGTATCGATGCAAACAAGCCCTATTTCTAATTCGATAGGCACGGTGCGAATACCGCTGCACCACCAATCCAGCAGAGGCGGAAACGACCGGTTGCTGCTGGGTCATCATCGCGGTCACGGTAGGAGATGGAGGACCTCGCAGGCCAGAGGACACGTGTCCTGACAGGAGGAGGAAAACTCACAACAACGAGTACATACCTGGATATGAAAATATCTGATGTAGCCTCTGCTAATTTGCCTGCCGATTCGCCGCCCTCAGTGTAATCGGCTTTGAATGCAACTTGTTCGTTGCATTCCTGGAACAAAGAACGATTCTTCTTCTTCTCATCAACTAATTCTTGCACGATGTGTGCGCCTAGAAGATTCGTATCTTCATTTCGAAAACTGAAATACAACCGAATCTCTAGTCACAATCATACTATCATGAAAATATACATGTTGCTATATATACGTGTAATTTAAAAAAAAAAAAAAACACACAGGTTGTAAGTTCTGTTTGATTATCATCGAATTCTCTATTGGCGATATTATTCGTAAAATCGCGGAAAGAACTTTTAACGGACCAATACTTTATATTTCCAGGTTCTATAGCATTAATACACAAATGATTTTTCAAGAAACACGATTGGCGAATAAATCAAAAGATGTTAGAAAAATAATGTCGTATAAATCTAAGAAGTAATTGTTGACAAAGTATATAGCGTTATGGCGCATAATTGTCGTGTTCCTATCGTATGTATTAATTCTATCAAAAAAAAAAAAAAATAATAATGAAAAGTCAAGACTAACAATGTTCAGTCTTGTTGAAAGAAAAATATCTTTAATCAATAAGCTTAAGATAACTAAAAGATACAAATATCGTATATTTTACATTAAGTCTTAAATATGTAAAAGTTGAGAAAATACATGTACATCTTCAAGGCCAAAAATCACACACAAACACACACACACACAGAGTATAGCTTCATATTAATAAATTAAACGTTGTAAATTATGTGAACATGCATTAGATATGGTTGTGAACACGTAGATAATGTATAGTGACCTATTAAAAAAAAAAAAAAAACTGTAAAAACATATTTTATCTTATTTGCGAAATTCTAAATTTCAATCGCTTCACATAATCATAGAATAAATTTTGGTATTTCAGTACATTTGTGTATTTCAGAGATATCGACTGAGATTGTGAGATCTCGACAACTCTTTTTGAAATTTTAAGATAAAATTCTTAAATTATTGATGGTTTTTAAAAGAGATTAAAACATTTTTATATTATTCACTTACATCGTGATGCCTGTACCAAAAATTACGGGAACATATTAATGTACTTTTTTCAAAGATAGTCACTTTATTCGTTTAATAATGCCTCAAAATGTTTTTTTTTTTTAAAGACGTTCTATGTAATATTGACACAGTGTGTTTTGTTTTTAGATTTTCAGATGTTGTCGGGGCGACAAATACTCTGGGAAAATAAACGCTTTTTAAGATACGATTTAGATGTACATAATGCACATCTTATAAAATAGTGAATTTAGTGTAATAAACGTATCTAATAAGAAAATATTCATAATTGTTTACGAAGATAAGAACATAACGAACACACAGAAAATATTTGTGAAATGCAAGCACGCTTCATCTTTATGGATGGTCCAAAACAGTTACGTATGTACATTAATAACGTAAAATAATAAACACATCCGGAACCAAGAAATTTTTCATACCACAGCTGTTGTGATATTTATAAATCCGCTTTTGTACCGACTATTTTAGCTGTATATTCAAATTTCTATGATATAGATAAATTTAGTTTAGATAAAAACAAATGAGTAAGAATTTTGTTTACATTTTTTCTTCAAAAATTTTAAACTTTACTGCAAAATACGAGAAAATTGTTTATATTCTCTCAAATAAAACAAAACACATATGAAAATCTACAAACTTCATTGTTTTGTTAATAAAGCAATCGAACCATAATTTAAAATTATAGTTACATAGTTGTATCAATGTAATATCTATTTGTTATCATATCAGACTATGTAAAAAAATAGCAATGTGATAGAATATAAGATAAACGTGATCAATATTCAAAGCTGCGCTAGTAAGATAGCAACTATAAATGTAAACGCAAGGATCTTCAGACTTCATAAAATCAAAATTATGCAAAAATCAATTCGCGCACAAAAAGAACAAAATACTCATAAAACTGTCTTTGGTACGATATGTCTTCGTGCACCTGTAACTATATGTCCAATAGTCTGCTATGATTGTATTCTGAAAACTGCATAAATAAAACAACTATCTTATTTTTTATGTAGTTGTTTCTCAGAGTAATGCAATAAAATTCGAATAAAATGAACAAATGCACTTTAATTTATAATATACAAAGATTGCATTTTATTTCAATAAAAAATAAATACTAATTTACATATATCGCACACATTTTACTATTATGGTAAATAAGTCAACCGTACGTTGCCGCTATCTTTATTAATTCTTTCCCAGTGTATGCAATGAAATGTGTTTATATCCATTTTGTCAATATACATTTTTCCCTACAAAGTAAAACCATTAATTACTATATAAATAGTTTTTGGTTATTCTAAATATTATTATAATACTTTTATTATTATATTCTTTCATATATCTTATGTACACATTTTCTCTCATTTTCTTGTATCCTTACTTGCAAGTGATCGTGTTCATGTTGTGCTATTCTAGCAGACCATCCTTGTGCTCGCCATGTGAACTGCTGAGCAGAACGATTTAGAGCTGTAACTTCTATCTCATAGGCTCTAGGAACAGAAGCGGAGTATCCACGAATGCTTTCACATCCTTCGTAACACATAATAGGTGTGTGATCTATAATTTTTATTTCAGGATTGATAAAGACTGTCAGTGGAATGATTTTGACCTCCCGAATTTTTCTCAGAGCCTCTTCAATCTTCTTCAAATCTTCATTAGTAAATTCTATAGCGAATACTTGCCAGGGAAGTCCAATTTGAGGTCCAGACAAACCGCATGCTCCATAACGTCGCATAACGTGTATTAGTTGATCGACTCCCTAATTTACAGTGATGCAAAAGCGTTGTTTTATATGCTTCACATCAAAAGGTAAAATTATTAAAGTTTTTGAAACAATAAAAAAATATAACATTTATAATAAAAACAAAAGTTTTTGTTTATAAATTGAAACTTAATTACTACTTACTTTTTGAAATTCCGGCATTTGTACAACTTCAGGATCTATTTTCATAGCGCGGCCACGTAAAATAGGATCGCCGATTTGACAAATATGTTCATACGGTACCTTGATATCTTCTTTGCCTAATAACTGCTTGACCTTTTCTTTCACATTCAAAAAACTTGCAAATCGCACATTGTTTTTGGTATTGATGCCATGTGAAACTACACGGGCAAAATATACTCGAAACATCGTTTACGTTTTAGTTATTACTAACTACTTTGTTCTTAGCAGACAATTTTTTTACTAATTTTTTCTACTACTTTTTAACGTGTTGTCAGTCGTAATTTCTGCTTCTTTTACACTGAGTTTTAGCAAACGACTTGATATTGAGGTTAAGTTAGGTTATGTCACGCATCTGTCCCACTCAACAACCGATTCTAAAGGCTATCACACACAAAATGACATAGCTGCATGTAGACATACGCAGCATAGGATCATTTAGACCAATAAGCATCAAGCATAGTTTTTTAAGTAAATTACTATTGATGATTTCTAATTAGCAACACAAAGCAACTTGACACAAGCATAGAATATTATGATTAGCAACTACACTGAAATTTGATGTTGGAGATTCGAGATCTGAGAACTGAAATGTGAAATTGAAGACGAGATCTAAGATTTGAGGAACGACTATTCCCCTGTTCCGTTATTACTGGCAGTACTGAAAATCTATAGGTTCACGTGACGTATCCTATAGATTTTTCAATACTGCCAGTAATAACGGAACAGGGCCTATGAATTCGAATCTAAATTCTAGATATTTCATGTATTGTACAAAATGTTTGGCATGGTACACATTGAAATTACAAAATTCACGAATCTTGCCAGTCGGATATGGACCTGATTCTATATCATTTTATGTCCAGAACAATCGTATATTAAAAGTATTATTGCAATGCGTACCTTGGAATCAATATGTTGTAAAGTCCAAATAAACTTTTAAAGTTCCGCTCTGCGTCGCGCGTCCGCCACGAAGAACTGACCACGAAAATATCGCGCACGACTCTCGAAATATCGAATCGACGCCGGCAACAGGTAGCTATTCACATTTGCAGAAGCGAGAAACGAATATAATAGATTTATATATAATATTTATAATAGTAAAATAGTAGCACATACATGATTTGAGGACATGTACTTACTTGATTACACTTTATCACTGCAAACTCCCGACATTTTATGGTAGGCATGTACGATCAATATTCGCGCGCGAGACGATGATAACCGCGAGAAATACGGGAGTAAAAGTCGAACGTAATAATTCCGTGTCGCGCGTCCGCCATGACTGCCCGCCACTTCGAGAATCGAAGTATCGAATCGTTCTGTTTTGTGCTATGTGCGCGCACGCGCGCGAGCGTCGATTCGATATTTCGATTCTCGAAGTGGCGGGCAGTCATGGCGGACGCGCGTCGCGGAGCGGAAGTTCTCGTTCAAATCAGGTATTTCTCGCAATTGTTATCGTCTCGCACGTAAATATTAGTAATATGTGTGTCCCACAAAGTGTTGGGCGTTCGAAATAATACGTAGTTAGTATCGCATACGAACTGAAAACGAAGTACAGACGAGTTTGGATGAAATCGTTTCGCGGCGTTCGCGAGACACAAAATGACCAACGCGCGACACGTTGAAGTACGTTCGAATTGCTTCGTTATTTCTCGCGTTTATAATTATCTCGCGCGCGAATATTAGTAGTTCATGTATGTCGCGAAGCACGCATTGATGCATAATTCGTATCGCGAGTGATAATCGGCGAGTATTACAGTCAATCGTATCGCGGCTGTTCGCCGAGCAAATTGAGTGATCTACGGAGCAATCAATTAGGTACATTTCCTTAAATTACTATATCTATTAATATAAAATAATTTATTATTAAATAACATAATAATTAATTTCCTCTTACCATTTTCTTTGTTTCAGATGCTGACGAATTGTTCACTTTCAGAAAAGAGTTTGCGGCATCGGAGGAGCCGGTTCGGACAATCTCCAGACAGTCCAGAGGTCAGTGTTGTATTTACAAGCTCAAAACAATACACAACACATTTTGTTGAAAACTTTAAATAAGTTAAACTTATTTAATAATCTCTTTTTTATGTTGAGTCTATTAATTTTGTTTTGCTTTTGGGTGTTTAGGACGCATTGTTTATGAGAAGAGAATTTTAAAGGATAGATGCTCGTTTGTTGGATCACTTCCGGGAGACTGAAGGTTGGAGAAGAAGATACATCGATGGACGACGAAGGGACCGCACAAATATAAGTCATAAAATCAATTTTTGCTTGTTCCTTTCAGCTAAAAGCAGATTTAGTTTTTTAACTTTATTATAAATATATTGTATACGTATTGGTAATTTTATAATTTTCCACAGTTAAATTATATATTTCGTACTAGGCTTTGACTTATTTGTTAAAAAGATTTATTAATACTAAATTTATATAAAAACTAGACTTTATACAATTTCTATACAAAGATATATGTAATTTATATTCAATAAAACTGAAAGGAACAATTTTTATTGCATGCATAATGTTTGCTTTTAATCGCTTATTAATCATTGATTTCTGATAGCGTAAATAAAGACAATCATACATTAAATGATTTTCTTAATTCGCTTAATCTTTATATAAATTCGGTAATAAATGTTTTTATTATTAAAAAACTGTAAATACATAAGTATGCTACTTACCACTGTAATGACGGATCGATTTAACTGACGATAATTTTGTTAATATTGGTGAGGAAAAGCTAAAATCACAACACGAAAAAGGTATAATTAATGATTGTGTGCAAAGTATATCTTCAGTTTTTTTATTTCTTTTTTGACTTTTATTGTATCTCTTAATTTATTACTTGAATTCAATCTACAAAAATGAGAAAGAAATTTGTTCTTTTACCATATCAATTTTGATATATATGGTCCTAGGATGGTATGAGGATAAATCAATTTTACGAACAAGCAATACTAATTGCACCAAAGTATTTATTCTTAGAGTAAGTAGCAGCGAAGGCACTAAATTATATTAATATTTGTTCATTAATTTTACGAAAGTAAAGTTAACATTTTATCAGCATGCATGTGCCGTCTATGAAACAAGGACAATTTCGGAAATTCTATTATATACGTTTTTTTTACAAGTACGAGCGTCTCATCTTATTCTTTTTTTGCAGCATATAAGGAAAGTATTGCGTAAAGTCAGTTTTTTATTTCGCAACTTTTTAAAAGCGTGTTTTTTTTTGTTTTAAATTTGTTTCTAATCTTATTATGCAAAATGTAACTGAACAACGTAATGCAAAATGCACTTCTTGCAAAATATTCATCGTAAAATTGATATGACAAACTATTAAGTATAATAACAACAAACGCAACAAAGAACAAATCTAATTATTACGACACTCGCCGAAATAACAACGGAGAAATCAGAAATAACATACTCGCAGAGCATATCGCGTGTTACTCGCGTCGTGATACATATGGAGATGTATTGACGGAATATACAAACATTCGCCTTATTTTCGCCGACTTCAGCATAGAGATGTCAATTTTTGTTACTTTTCCCACTACGTAATTAGTCTTAATACTTGTTTCTTTTTTTTTTTCAAATGTTCTCTTCTCTACTTATACGATTTATCGCGATTGACTTTACTTACTGGTATAGAACGCGTGTCGCTTTATAATATTTATTTGCAATTCATTCTATATATGTACACATGTGTCGGTCCGCGCGTTCGTGTACATCGACAACACATCGCCGTCGTCGTCGTCGTCGTCGATGCAACACTCTCGATATATATCGCTTTCAACTCTGGAAAATCATTTTTCTAGAGAAGTATTTAATATTTCTTGATACGGAAATTAAGTCTCTTTCTTTTATTAGTTCAAATAATTAATCTAAGTTTTACGCTCGTCTAAGTTGCTACTGTTGCGCGTTGAGCTTTGGTAGGCGAACGTTATGTTGTTGCATACACGGAAACGCGCAGACATATTTAACATAGATTATATTATCAATGATTAAATAATAGCATAGAAAATAATTGTTTTCTTCGCCACGAAGCTAGAGTCTTTCAACTATTATGCCATTGACCTTTGATACTTGATATTGTTTTTATTCTTATTTTCTTTTCTTCATATATATAGTTTAGTTCCTTTAACTAGTTAGTCGCTAATATGATACTGTATGAAACCTCGGAGTATGCACGTACGTGTGTATGTGTTTGTGTATGTGTTTGTATGTATTTTTCTATACTTGTTGAGTATGTGTGTATGCATTCACGCTCGTCATGCTGAATTGTCATGTTTGTGTGGTTGCACGTATAATTTTGTTGTCACGTAGGATACAAAATATGACGATATGCTGTAATATTGTTTTCTTTCTCTCAGATAAAAATTAAAGAGATAGTTTTTCTCTTGTGGCTCTTGTAAAAAAAATATTACTATAAAATATGTATTGAGTGTTATCATACTTTATATTTTGATACAATATGACCGACATTTATTTAAATAACGCGACAGAATATTAAAATACTTTGCTGGCACAATTTGTATCCCACAATATTATTTTTGAAATTAAATATCGTTTCGTAAAACTTCATTGGCATTTTATCGGTTTAACATTCACTGCAAATGCATGGAATAAAATTTGTCTGATTATATATACTAAATGAACTAATTTTAATATGTTTATACATAATTACTTTGAACATAATTTAAAAATCTAAAATTATTAGTATAACAAATTACTTTGTCCTAATTGTAGAACTTGAAAAAAAATAATTTTTACGTATCTGCAATTAACAACTGAGTTTTACTGCATATTGAATTATTTAGTTTCTACTTTTTTTTAAATATTTTGACACATTTTGCATTTATGGCAAAAGAAACATTTGCGTGTGCAAAAAAAATTACAGATCAGTTACGTTTTAAAATTCTCTTCCTTTGTTAGGAACTTTCATCTTCTATTCTTTTTTTGACACGTATCAAAGCTTAACAACTTTCGAAATTAAACGTAAGAAATGAATTTTCGTAGTGCTTTTATCGGTTTGCTTGATATTTTTCTTTTTAGAGATGAGAAAACTCCAGAAGTTAAAACTATCAAGAGTGAAATCCATCGTTCTTACGTGAAACTTGTGTGACGTAAAAATTAAATGGACGGGAAAAGTTGAGTATATTGCCATCAATGGTGTATATATACATATACATATGTGTATATATATATATATATGTACATGTTTAATGTGTGATCGCTTTCTTCCGCTTGCTAGAATATATAATTCATTTTTCCTATAATACATTTAATAGTATCTCACTTTTTTTGCATTTTCATTTCTTACTTATATTTTCGTGTGCTTCTCTGAGAGGGTCTCACATACACTGTTCAAGAGTGATTGCTTAATGTCTTTTTTTTTGTTATTTTGTTTTTAATGTAAGTTACACGTATAATATCTATCGCGATTGTAGTAGTTGTGTGTTTTGTGTGTGTGATCTTATTATGCGTGCACATGATGAACGTGGATACTCTTTTTTTCTTTTGACT